GAGAGAGAGCGCACACGCGCGTGTGCGCACAGTGAGTGTTTAGGGTGCGTGTGCCTCAGCGTGCATGTGGCCTCGGAAGACAATTTGTGTGTGTTCTCCTTTCATTCTACCACGGGAGTCCCAGGAATTGAACTCAGGTCTTCAAGATTGGCACCTTTCCCCCTTAGGTAGATTTTGTGATCAGCACACGTGGGAGAAAGGAGGTTGCTTCCTGGGAGAGCTGACCACAGGCACATGAGACTCACGTGCATGCGACTCCTGGCAAGATTGTAAATGCCGCCCTGGTTTATGGTATAGTTGGGCACGAGTTTTGAGCTAGTTGATGTTTAGTGTCCCCATGAAACTTCTGGACGGGCTTGCTTCTCTGGACCTAGGTTGGGAAGGTTTGGAGTCGAGGGTGTCTGCGTTTGTGTCCAGGCTGTGTATGTGTGCCCTGGCTTTGGCTGTGTACTGGAGGATGGGGATGGGCATGCTCATGAGCTGGATGCTGTCCTGTCACGCCGGTTAGGCCCGCATCTCTCTTGGCCGACTGGAGCGTACCAAGGTCCGCTGCTCCCAGGCTCGGCGGGTTGAGGGTCGGACCCCAGGAGGCCGGGCAGGGGGCGGGGGCGGTCGGGGCCAGCCCCGGGGCGGGGCGAGCCGCCCAGGGTTGGGGGCGGGGCGGCCTGGCAGCCTCACTTCGGCGAAGTTGGCGGCGCGGAGGCTGGCCGGGGACGCGCCCGGAGCCCTGGGAAAGAGGGAGGAGGGAGGAGGGAGGAGGGAGGGTCGCGGCCGCCATGGGGCCGGGGGCCCGGGGCCGCCGCCGCCGTCGTCGCTTGATGGCCCTGCCACCGCCACCACCGCCCATGCGGGCGCTGCCCCTGCTGTTGCTGCTAGCGGGGCCGGGGGCTGCAGGTGAGGGATCAGGGACATGGAGGGTGGGACTGGGACTGCAGGGGCGGGGAAGCACAAAACCCCCTAAGTTTGGGACTTTGGGGACCTGAAAGCCCAGGACTAGAGCTGGGGCAGAGGTGCAGGAGCTGGAGGCTGTATGCCCGTCATGGGGCGCACAGGGATTCGTGATGGGAAGGCAAGGTCCTAGAGGCCCGAGGAATCAAGATCCTTGAATGAGCCAGGAGTCCGAGACTGGGCACTCGGATGTGGGAATCTGGGGCTGAAATTTGGAGGCGAGGTGTCTCAAAAGTTCCAGGCTCACCCCATCCTACTTCTGCCTGGAGCCCTGGGAAGGTTACGGTGGGGGCTCCAAGACCCCCAAGGCCTAAGACCCCTTGCACAAAAGGCTCCCCCCATCCCGGGCGGGCCGGGAGTGGTGGTGGTGGTTGGGGGGGGGGGCGAAGAGGGGGCGCGAAGTTCTGGGAGCTCTGACCTGGGAGAAAACTTCTCAGGCCGGAGAGCTGCAAGACCTGGGGCTGGAGCGCGAGGAGCCGGAGCTGAAGCCCCAGCGGCGCCCGCGCCCCCTCCCCCCGCGTGCCGCCCGCTCCCTCTTCTGGCTGCTAGGATCCCACAGCCTCGGTACCCCGCCTCTGCGCCGGGAGGAGAAGGGGCGAGGCCCACGTGCTCCTCTCCGGCTTTTGGGCCCCCTCCCTGTGGCCGGAGCCCCTCCCCAGCCGGCCCAGGGGCCCCCTCCCCTTCTCCTCCAATCCTTACTCCCCTCCCCCGCTCGGGACAATGGCTGCGCCGTCTAGACACCCCCTCCCCCCCGGCCGGCCTCGCGCTTTCTTTGCCAGACAAAGCGGGACCCACGGAGGGCCAGAGCGGGGACTGAGGGGGCGCCCCCATCCCCGCCCCGGGAGGCCTGATCAGCGGGGGAGGGGCACAAACCGGTGGCCTGGGCCGGGAGTTCTAGGGAGCCCACGGTGGGACTTGGGCCCGGTGAGAGTTGCAGAGAGGGGCCTGCATCCCCAGCGTAGCCTTTGGGCTCATCTAGGCAGGACCAGGCAGGAGCCACCGCCCCCGCGGGGCCGGCGCAGACTCATGGCCTGTCACACATAGAGAGATGCAAATGTGCATGTGCGCAGGTTCATGACACCCACGGATGCACACTTGGCACACACAAGACACACCTACGTGTTCACTGTTCATATGCTAATGTGCATTCATACAAGGTCAAGTATGATCACACATGCATAGCCATACCAAGACTCGGTATGCATTCATAGTCAAGGTCATACTGAGAGGTGCCAATACATGACCCATACAGACACACCCGTGGCCACACAGTTGTATGCTTGAATACTGCTGTTCATATAGGTGGATGCACGGCACGTGCAGCTTGTGTGCTTGTGTGCACATGGAGTGCTTGGCTGTACTGTTCACAGGTATCAGCACGGTAACATGCACATGCATTTTCATATTAGCCACCCAGTGGCCTAATACTCTCAAGTCTCCACAGACTGTCACACAAACTCACAAGCATGTGTGCACAGCACACACACACACACACACACACACACACACACACACACACACAGGGCTCACATCGTCATGTCTCCCATCACACAGTTTCCAGTGCGACGTCACAGAAATGAATAGGTGGCTCTGAATCTCTCTCCTTTCAGTGTCTGTCTGTCCCTGTTTCTCAGTCCCCCCGCACCCCATTCCTGCTCTCTCCAAGGAACACACTTCTACAGAGCCCCACACCTGCCTGAGCACATAATTCTCCACTAGACCTGGCCACACCTCTCACCCAGCTGGCAAGACTGATACACCCGAGAGGGACACAGCCCTGAGGGATGGGGACACTGGACAGGGTAGCACATGTCTTGCACCCGGTGCCTCTCCCTTCTACTACACACCCTACCCATCTTGTACCCACAGCCACCTCTCTACTGCCGTCACCAGTTGGTCCTGGGTGCGTGCTCTGCCTACTCTTTGAAGAGCCAGCAGGCTTGCCTGGCTGGAGTAGATACCCCAACGTTAGTGGAGGGTGGACCCAGTGGCCCACCACTCCTCACCTCGTCCCTTATCCCAGGACAAGGGCTTGCAGATGCAGACCCTCTTTCACACCCAGCATGCTCATTTCCTACGCTGTAGCCCTTCTCCAGTATGGACATGTTAGTTTGGGCAACTTCCTGAGCCCCCACATCTGGCACAAGTCAACTCCTCCTCCTTCCCACCCCTGCCTTGTGGTTCCCAGGGCTTGAGCTGGCAGGGACAGCTGCGGCCCCAACAGCTGGGACTGGGGCGGGGGGCCATGGGAACCTTAGATAGGGGGCCTCTCAGTACCCACAGACACCCTCCAGCCCTGTGCAGCTGTCGCCTGGCAGACAGGAGAGGAGGGTCTGTCCTCCCAGTGTGGGGTTCTGGGGGCCTGTCTGACCTCCCCACCTTCTTTTGCCCCTGCACAGCTCCCCCTTGCCTGGACGGAAGCCCGTGTGCAAATGGAGGTCGGTGCACCCAGCAGCCCTCCCGGGAGGCTGCCTGCCTGTGAGTGTCTGGCCCAGCGCCATCAGTGGGCGGGCCCTGCATGGGAGGGAATCTGTCCTCTCCCCCTGCCTCCGAGTCTCCTGGGGGATGCTGCTATCACTTCCTCCTTGTGTGTGGCTTGGGTAACCTCTTGTGTTTCCCTGTTGGGAATCAGACAGAGTTAAGAGCGGAGGCTCTGAAGTCCGTCTGGCCTGGGTTCAAATCCCACATCATGTTGCTAAGTGGCTGAGACTTAAACCCATTAAGTCACAGTGTTCTGGACCGGAAAATTGATTCCCAAGGCCAATGGCAGTAGCTTGACAGCCATGAGGACATCCATACCCTCCCATATCTGAGGACTTAGGAGCCACACCGGCTGCCTACGCTAGAGTCCTGTTGGACTGTTTTCTGGTTTGTGTGGCCTTAGGTCAGTCACTTCTCTGTTCTGTGCTCCACTGCATCTGTGAACTAGGAATGCCTCCCCTGGCTGTGAAGGAGTTCAAGAATTATTTGTTCAATAATATGAGGAAATGCAGAGGGTTGGGGAAGAAGAGCCGGGGCTGGGAAAGAGTTGAGTAGAGGCGGACAGAGCTCTGAGCTCTGGGCATCTGTAGCCAGTGCTGAGAACCTTCTGAGCCACTTCGGATCTGTAATGGCATTGTGAAGATTTGAAAAGAGCCTTTAACTAGGTGGTTTACACTTGTCTCTCCCAGCAGAAGCAGGAGGATTGCCTTTAGTTGGAGGTCAGCTTGCACTACATATTGAGTTCCATGCCTGCTTATGCCACAGAGCGAGGCTGTCTCAAAAATGTTTTGGTTTTGTGTTTAAAGGTAGGGCGCCCAGCAGGCTAGCTCAAGTAGGTAACGGAGCTTGCTGCCAAACTTTGGTAACCTGAGTTAAATCCTGGGGACCTACAAGGTGGAAGGAGAGAACCAACTTCTACAAGTTGTTCTGACCTCCACGTGCACACACACACACACACACACACACACACACACACACACACATTAATGTAATAAAAATATATTTAAAAATGAGAGAGACTTTTGAAACTCTTTGAGGGCTGGAGGTGTTCAGTGGTGAGTGCTTGCCTAGCCTGGCTTTGCGGGGATGGACCTCAAGGTTTGTGGCCTTATTGGGCCTGTTTTCTCCTTAATAGCGACAGCAGTCCATCAGCAACTATTAATTAGTTCAGAAATGTTCATTTACTCAGTACCGTGTGGCCTAGCCAGTGGGTCAGCCTCAAGCTAGGTGGGACCAGGATGACTTTCCATATAGAAGAACCCCCTTTGACGTTACAGTGGCAGATGAACTCAAGTGGCTGGAACCCCATTTAGCTTCATTTAGGGGCTACTGGCCGAAGGGCATCCTGAGGGTGGGGGTTTAAGTTGGTGGAGCTGGGAGGGTGGGGGTTTAAGTTGGAGGAGCTGGGAGTGTGTCCTTACTTGGAAGGAGTCACTTGGAAGGAAGGTTGAGACACCGGGCCGGGCGCCTGCGCAGTGGAACTACATGCCTGGACTACTGCCGACAGGTGAATACGCCCGAGGCCGCCCCGCCCCTCGACAGGTGAATCACCGGCTCACTCGGCCTCCGGGAGCCCGGATCGCGCGGAGTGGAGCCCGCTCAGGCTCCCGAGTAGATCCCTACATCCCCTTCATCCCCCAAGCCTCTCCTTCAATTTCTCAAATCCTCCTGTCTGCTTAGGGGTGACCCCCGAAATGTCACTTTCTTCCACCAATTACCCCCCATCTCTCCCACCTCCCCACCCCCCAAGTAGGCTCCGAAACTCTCCCTCGCTTGGTCCTTGTCTGCCTTGCCGGTCGGTCAGTTTCCTCCTTGGAAGCC